GAGCCCTGGGCAGACCCGCAGAGCCCTGGGCAGACCCGCGCAGCCCTGGTCAGACCCGCAGAGCCCTGGGCAGACCCGCAGAGCCCAGGTCAGACCCGCGGAGCCCAGGTCAGACCCGCAGAGCCCTGGGCAGACCCGCGCAGCCCAGGGCAGACCCGCGGAGCCCAGGGCAGACCCGCGGAGCCCAGGGCAGACCCGCGGAGCCCAGGGCAGACCCGCGGAGCCCAGGTCAGACCCGCGCAGCCCAGGGCAGACCCGCAGAGCCCTGGGCAGACCCGCGCAGCCCAGGGCAGACCCGCAGAGCCCGCGTAGCTGCCCGGCAGGACCTCCCCGGGTCCGTGGTGGGCGCCAGGCTTCCGCTTCCCGGAGGCGGCCGAGGTCCCATGCAGGTCTCGGACGGTCCGTGTCTGCGGCACGTGGTTGTAACATACCCAGGGCATCTGCGGGGGAGGAGAGAGCAGAGTGCTCTCCGTGGATCTTAAATGGAGTCGTTACTGTCAACAGTAAGAGGAGAAAGTAAGCAGAGTACTGTCGGTTTTGTCAGTTTTAAAGCAGGTCCAGAAGTGCAGTTGAGCAGGTCGCGTCTCAGGACGTCTTAGGTGGTGCTGCCCTGCCTGCGTCTGTTAGGCGTGGACTGTGAAACCAAGTTTATTCGTAGACGTTCCTTCGTTTTGTCACGTCTCAGCGACAGTTCTTTGACAGTTAGAAAGCATGTCGCTCCTCAGGCGCCTGTAATGCTTTGAGGCAGTTGTGGCGCCTCCGTGGGGCTCATTTCCGAGCTTTGCTGTGAGGACGTGGGGCCCAGTAGGGAGGCCGCCGCCTTCAGGGTGTAGGGAGCCCTGCCTGCCGTGGGGACACGTGTGGCCGGCCACGGTTGGACGGCAGGACCGCCCTTCCCTCCGGGCGCTCACCTCCTCTGTTGTTTCCATGGGCTGCTGTGCGCCTGGAGGGTTTTCTAGTGCGGGACCATTCGCGTTGGGAAGTGAGGGAGGAGTCGGTGCAGGGAAACGGCTCCTGGTTCTTTTGTGCCTTTGCCTGCGACAGTCCAAACCGTTCTCACCCAGTAATTCTGTTACAGAGGGGCTGTGACGGGGTGGGGTACAGAAGGGCGGACGGTACCCCCAGCCCATCAGCGTGGACTGTGCAACCTTCATCAAGAAGCTTATAGTTTTATTTGGGAAAGTTTACACATTATTTTTTAATCTAATTTTTTTTTTAGACTAGGTACTAGTGTCACACGGTGTAACAGTGAGAAGGCGCGGGGTGTGCGGAAGGTCGTGAATAGCCTTGGGTGGTTGCTCCTGTCTGTAGGTAAACTCGAGAAGGCGAATCGTAGGGTAATCGACGGTGCTAAACTGGCATCTTGTCTGGGAGGTTCTGTTTTCAGTCGGGGTCTGGTTGAGAGCCGTGCAGTCGCAGCTGTAACCTTCCCGTTCCTTGGGCGGGCCGGCAGTTTGCGCCGGCCCCTCCGTACTCTCCTCACTTCAGCTTCAGTGTTTGCCTGTCCTGGAGGCGAGGGTGTGTGTCTATTCACTGTTTTTACTAAGTACAACTTTCACATCCACAAATCACAAGTGACAGCTCATTGAACTTTTACCGCCGTCGGATCTGGATGCAGAACCTGCCCAGCACCCCGAATGCCCCCGTCCCCTCCCCACCCCCAGAAGGCACCTCTGTTCTGACCTCCAGCCTCAGCTTGTTCGCTGGCTTTCAGCTCTGTGCAGGGCTTGTGCAGAGCGTGCCCTGCGCTTCCACGTCCCTGCCGTCCTTGCTGTGTGTGAGGCTCAGCCCTGGTGGCGCAGGCGCCTGGGACCCGTTCCCATCGCAGTGAGTCAGGATCAGGTCGGCACAACCTGCCAGTCGATTTGTGTGACTGAGGATTTTGGTCGCGTCTATTGTCAGCTTTTATGAGTAAAACTCCTGTGAACTTCTTTGCACAGCCCTATTGGAGGAGTTGCACACTCGCTCTTCTGGCTGTACCCTTGTCAGGTCAGTTTTGTTTGTTTTTAATTGAGGACTGATTTATAAACAGTGAAGTTCACCAACTCTCAGCACAGAATTTGTTAGTAAACAGTTTCCTGTGGGTCTCCTGCATTTGTTATGAACAAAAGCCCTAATTCCGTTTTCCTGGAGTCTTTTCAGGGATGTTGGAGAACAGGAGTGGCGTCTCCATCGAGCGAGGGGCAGGTCTGCTCGCAGCCCCGCAGCGAGAGCGCCGTCTTCCCGCAGACGGGGTCGCACACTTCCTGCCGATTTAGAGCCGTGTTTCCTAAGCTTCCTCTCCGGCTCCTGTAACCAGCCTACTGACGCCCACTGCGGCACACGTGCCACCTGACTGCACGGGCGTGGGAACCGGGCGCAGGCTGCTGACTGCGCTCCTGCTTGAGCAGTTGAGTCTCCTGTCTCCTCAGCGTCCGTGACCCTGGCGCTGACGTGTTAGCTGCAGGCAGGGTGGAATCTCGGAGCCTGCACGGCCTGGACACGGGTCAGTGGGTTTAGACAAATGTAGAGTCTTGTCAGCACCCCAGGCAGGTCGTAGAGCACTTCTCTCACCCCAGAGTCCTTTGTGCCGCTTTACGTTTATTCCCCTCCCGCCCCAGCCAGACCCTGTCTGCTTCCTGTCCCCGCGGTTCTGCCACTTGGTGAGCTTCCTGTAAGTAAATCACACAGATGTGTGCAGCCTATGTCTGGCTCCTTCCACTCAGCGCAGGGCCTTTGACTCATCGGTGCTGCTGATTCTGCCGCAAGCTTGTTCCCTTTTGCTGATGAGGGTTTCCCGTTGGAGCGAGTGTTTGTTCATTCGCCAGTGGTGGGTACTTGGGTTGTTTCCAGTTTGGGACTCAAATGGATAAAGCTGCTGTGAACATTTGAGTCTCGCGAGGACGTGTGTTTTCACTCCTCTTGGGCACAGTCTTAGGAGTGGAAATGCTGAGTCTTAAGTTGTGCTTCTAACGTGGTAAAGAGCTGTTTTTGCTAAGCTGTTCCCCGGAGCGTCGGCGTCACCGCGCACTCTGCGTGGTGCTGAGAGTGTGTGTCTTCCTCTGCGTGCGAGGTTGAAAGTATTATGTCATGTTTGAGTTGCTTGCATTTCCTTTTCTGTGAAGAGCCTATTTTTCTACTGGCTGTTGGAATTTTTTAGTGATTTGTAGGCATTTTTCATGTATTCGTATGTTGTTGGTCATGCTGTGAATTACAGTGTTTTCCATTGTGTCAGGTACCTTCTGAGGTTGTTTACGTGGGGTTTGCCATGCAGACACTCGCCTCTCTGCAGTGTTCCATCTCGGAGTGTTTACTAATAAAGAAAAGGGTTCTTTTCATTCGCCTTAAAGAATAAATCATGTTTTCCAGCTGTGTCTTACGTAGTCATAACTTCAGTGGGAAAAAACAAAATGCTCTTAAGACTTCCATTTGTTTTCTGCGCACACATAAAAATTCACCACCTTTTAGAAAACAGCTACACCCTGGGCACAGAAGACTTCAGACTTTGTCTTAACTTATGTGCAGTAAAGTGTTAATAATGCTGCGTGTCTCTTACAGAAACCCCGTGTGAGATGTCACTGCAGGCGTGGGTGGTGCAGGCCTTGCTGCTGCTACTCAGCGCGGGATCCCTAGGTAAGGCTGGAACGCCCCCCC